CCCCAAAACCCCAAAACCCCAAAACCCCATGCTTCTTAGTTTCTCTTTATATAAATAAAAAGAGATATAAACGTTAGAAAATATTTATTTATATTTAGGCCTTTGTTATAATTTTGTTAATGAAGTAGCTATTTTCATAGCTTATTGGAAGTCCACATTCCAAATAGAATAACTAACAGCAGGAAAGAAGTGTCAATACTTAATCCTAAAGATAACCAAACAGACTATAGCCAATCTATATGAGTGAAAATAAAATTACGAAGCAACCCATCCTTCAACAAAGCGATTATGATAATTACTAGCAGTAAAATAATATTAACAACAATAAAAAGTACCAAAGTCATTAGAAATCCTCTTACCTTAACAACTTCATCAATCCACAATCTAATCAAATCAGAATCAGCTAACCTTAAAATCATCAAAAAGAAGAGAGAAATGTAGATGAAATCCTAAATGAGAATCAGATGCTTAAGAAATAAATTGATATATTAGCCCATCTAGTCTCTTAGTAATCTAAACATACAATTATCACCACATCTGAGATGGGATAGAATTCAGCGCATCTAGGTGAATTAGACTCAAATACTCTTACGAGATTCCAATCTCTCGATTAAACTTAATTCAGATTTAAAAATGGCAATGTAGCCGTACCTCTAGTGTAAAATAGGAATAGCAGAGTTCAAAAAATATAAAATGCCTACTCTTGCGAACTTTACAAAAAGAAAAAGTCAAGCCAGTAAGTCTAGCGCGTCGTATGCAAGGAAAGATTTGAGAACTAGTCGATGGGAATGGATGAGATCGAGATAAATTCCTAGGATGATTTATTATTTAGTAGCTTAAATGATAAAGTTGAGTACAAATAAACTTTGCACAAAAATGATATTACACTGATAAATACCATCAACGTCTAAAAAGTTAAAAGCTAAGAAGATGATTCTCAAATTCGACTTACAAATCATCACAGAAAGATTAATTCTGAGTATAACACCTAAAATATGAATTTCAATTTGAGAAACCAGAGAGGCATTCGAAAAGACGAAGAAAAGATTAAAACCTAAATTGTTTAAGACTATTAAATATCAAATTAAAATAAAGCCTTTAGCAGTGATATTGAACAAAGAGTACTACTTGATATTAGCTTGAATCAATCTATGAAGATTGAAAATCCGGAATTATAACCAACGACCTTTCATAAGACTTCAACAAGACTTTAAAGTAGAAATCAAATCATTGACATGAATGGAACATCGATGTCAAGTTTAAATGATTCTGAAATTTCTGCTGATGATGCCACTTATATTTCAAACTACCATAATAAAAATATGGGCATTATCACTGAGTATGCCAATCCTCTGAATATGCATGATGCCTCGCCTTTTACCAAATTTTTGTAGCCAATGGATGCTTATTAGGAAGGTAATTAAATGCTTATTAGGAAGTAAATGTAGTACCCTATTCCAATACATGACTAAACTTAGAATATGACACACTCATATCTTTCGATGACTTAAGATTACATCTCTAATAACAATATATCATATGTTTAGGATGGAAATAAAATGATTGATCTTAATGATTAGAGCAACCTATCCTACTATTAAATTAATGATGACTCTAGAATTTCTATCAAGCAGAAATAAGTCAATAAACAGCAATAGCAGTTGTAAATGAATTAGGATTAAGAAATCAATGATATAGAAAATCAATTTGATTAAGATATAGAGCGTATTAATGGCTATTATAGCTTATAGGAAAAATCCTACTTTTAAGGAGAGGTAGATCAATACCAAATGAATGAAGAATTGAGTAAGATATATGATGATGAACTCTGGAATAATAATCCAAATTAAGAAAACTTAAAGAGATCCCACTATGATTCAATAATTGAGAACTAAAAATCTATTTTGGTCATAAATGATGCTCAGACACTTAACTAAACTTAGAATTAGTAGGATACAGAAAAGCAGGGGTATGAAAACACTTAAATAGAATCTTCAAAATTGCTTTTGGATCAAAGAGGACATCCTTATTAAGACCTAACTCAAATTTTATCTGATGATACAAGCAGATAGTCATAATCAAGGTAAAATCCCTAAATAAGATAAGAGGATAGGAATAATTTCTAGGCTGCTCTTAAAGAAGTCATTTGTGAATATCAGAATTAGCCTTAATACAGTATTAACTTAGAATCTAAAAGTAGTCTTGAGGATACTTAGGAAATAGAATAATCAACAAGAGGTCCATCAGTTAAAAAGCCCTTTCAAATTCTTGATCTTGCTGATAAGAGATCAGGCTACATTTATAGTGAAAATGAAAGAAATAACATTTATAGGTACACACCTGATAAATAGTCATTTGCTTCTAGATAATAGGACTTGAATCTATTTTTAGATAGCAAGAAATCAATTACTGCCAAGAAATAATTCAAGGAGCCTATATTTCAGGAAAAATACACATAGCGCATTTCAATGCCAAATATTGACTAAGAATCAGGAACGTTAAGATGGCATTTGAATGAAGAGAAAGCTAGAAATATTGTATTGTTAAATCAGCAAGTCATCGGTTAATCCTTAGGAACAGGGTAATCGGTTGAAGCTCTTCAAAGATTATGTTTGATTGAAAATGATATCATTCCTAAATAAAGAGTCACAAATACAAAACAAGTTACTGGTAAATTTAGCTTCTAATAGGATGATGTTCTTGAACCTTCAGCAAGAAGCTCAAGAATTGTTCAGGATTTAAGTAATATTGAGGATCATAGAGTTAGTCCGAGAGAGTTCATCCAAGCTGAGATAATGGACACTTTCAATCCATAATACCATGCTGAGAATGAATAAGATGAAATCTAGCTGTTATCTTCTGCTAGATAGGAAACTTACGAATACGATTTAATAAAACCTCAACCTATAATTATAATTGAATAGCAGTTTGAAAGTGACCCTATAAACGAGGAACAATAAATAACTATTGAGGATTGTAATAACTTTTTTAGTGCAAAATCTCTAGGACCATTGAGGAATGAATCAAGTCTAAATAATTCACTGATATTGAGTGACTCTAAAAGAAATAATTTGAGTAATTCTAATGGCAAATCTAGATTCACAAAGTTAGCAGAAAGTATAAAAAAGCAAAGGACTGAGTAGGATGCTTAAGTAACGGAATATTCAAGAACTCAGCCTATATTGATATAGACAGACGGTGAGTTTTAAACTTCTTGCAATTTTGAGGAAAAATTTGAAACAAGATTGCAGCAATTTGAGAATGAGAAGAATTTGAGGATCAATATTAATCTAATCTAGCAAGAAGATCAAAAATTTTAAGATAAGGAATCGCTTGCTACTCCTAGCCCAAGAGTCTTTGATTGCTCCAAGATGATTTCTTAATCAATTGATGTCTATCAGAGTGTAAAACCAGAAGTTGACGTTAATTAATACAAAAAGGAAATGTTGGATAGTCCATCTCCTATAAAACAAGAATATTAGGCATAAGATTATTATGAGAATTAATCACCTCTTCGAGAGGAACCAATTATCTCAGAATATGATAGCAATCAACAATCAAATGAAAAGTTCTATGATACTAGCAAAATTATTAGTAATTGCAAGGATAGTCCATTCAAGCATAAATCAACAATAACAAATGATAATATCTTGATTAAATGTGAAACAGATGGAATGAGCATGAGATCTTCAGTAGAAAGAATAATATCAATAAAGAATGCCCAAAGAATTTCAGTCCCATATTAGTACTATGATGTTGAAGAGATGAAGTATCAAGATTACTCAGATGTAAGAATTCAGACTTATGAGTCATCTCAAGTAAACAGCGAGAATGAGTAATCAGAAGAGGAAAAATAATTTAATAGCTGGGTTCAGGAAAGTAAGGTTCATACAGGCATAAAAGTTTACAACTCAATGGCAAAAAATAACTACAGAGATACCAATTGTATCTCAGAGTAACCCTCTGAAGAAGATCTTGAGAGTACTTACAACGGCAACTGCAAATAAACGAGAGATTATGAGTATATCGAGGACAAAGTTAGAATAGAAACTTCATAATCAAATGAAATATCTCTTAATAATATTGAGATGCTCGACAGTCAAATGTTTACTCAAGGATTGAAACAATTTAATAACAAAAATACTAATACAAATCTAGAGAGTACAAAAAAGACCGATTCTATGGACTAGCCAGAGGAGTAGCATTTAGAAGTCAGTCCGGTGAGACAGTATAATATGAGTCCATAAGATCTTCCTATTTCTGCAGATAACAGCATTATTGATATTAATGTCTCAAAAGATGAATAAGATTAATAGTAGATGAAAGAGATATTGAAGAAACAGGAATTCATCAATCAGAAGATATAAAATTATAAGTTGTCACTACAGTCCATTATTGATAATGGATTGCAGGTACTTTCATAAAATAGTCTTTTATCACCCAAATCCACAGTCAGAAACTTTAATCCAGATCCTTAAGATTAAGCTTATTCCTCAAACTCCTCTTAAATTATAGAGTCAAATAAGAAGGTGATAGAAAAAGATTCAAACTAAAAGGTCACAAACTCTCAAAAAAGAATAGATCAAGCAAAAGAAAGGAGACAGCAAATAGATCAGGCAAAATAATAGTAACTTCTAGAAAAATTATCCAAAAAATCTTCAAGATTATAAAATTCAAGAGAATACTCTTTCGTTGGGGATGATGAAACATAAATGCTAAAGGCTTTGAAAAAGGCGAGAAATACTTCCTCAAAGATATGCATCAATAGTAAAAAGTACATTGAATCTCAGGACTACAAGAGCTGCAATGATCTAATGAGCACGAATAATGATATGAAGGCGTCTACAATAAGTCAATCTAGTGAGTGCTATTAATCTTTCTAAAATACTAAAGACTCAGATTGCTAAGCATAAAACATCTCAAACCACCATCATACATTAAAGCATGATCCAATTAAGAAATCCTCAACTGTTTAAAACTCTGCTGCTAAATAAAAGGGAACCAATGACGATTGTGCGAGTACAAGCAGGCTTCTACAATAGCAATAAAATAAATAATAATAGCATCTCTAGATTTCTCATAGAAACCACCAAAGTGAACTCAAATAAAGTTCATCGTCTGGCTCATTGACCAGACTTTAAGCTTTAAGCTCAGCCAGAGATATTATAAAAGGAGTTTGCTAGTAAATCTAAATAGACAAATAGCAATAATAACATTTGGAATAGATTGATAGCGTTTATTTTAACAAGTCTACCAATTAAAGCAATAAGGTTAATACTAGCTAAACAGCAAGATCTGCATCTAGTGCTTCTGCAGCGAATTTGAAAATGAGGTAAAAACCTATCAAAAATTAACAGTCTCATCAAGTAAGATAGAAGCAAAACATAAATGATAAACATTAGCTAAATAAACTATCATTTGCAGCATAGCCACCTCAAACTTAAAGATAAGATGCTTACTAATAGTAAAACTTTATGATGATTAGTCCATTCATCTCACAAGATAGCTAGAAATATAAACATTCCTCAGAATCTTATTAAAGCAGCAATAGCAAATAACATAACCGGCAATCATCATTTAGAATTCAACTTATCTAAACAGATATTATAGGCGAGACTCCAAATTCTAAAATCAGCAATAATAATTCATCTTTTCTCTCAAATGGCAATCTTAAAAATTCAGTAATGAGTACACCAAAATTTGAGAAGCTTACAGAAAATAATCAAGGTTTCGATTATGATTTCCAAAGATAAACAGTCTATAATCCTGAATAAAATTATGACAACTCTCAATCTTCAACAACGCATATCACAAGCAATCAAGCTGAATTTTTCCATAGAATCACTGAGGATTAAAAGAAAAGATTCTAATTAAAAGCTAGAATAATAAACTGAATCTTAATACGCTGTAAATTTAAATAGAGGTGCATTATGTCTTTAAGCAAATCCTTAGACTCAATTTATTATTGCGTTAGAAATTCTATATTGTGCTGTAATTTAATTTTAATTTAGTTTATGCTTTACAATTATAATCTTTCTATACTTACTGTTGGGGTTTTGGGGTTTTGGGGAGATCGGAAG